CCCCGGGGGTAATGCCATGTATGGATCAGTATAGAATAGGGTAAGGGTTTTAGAGTCCCAGGGGCCCCTGTACATTACTACCAGTACACATCCACTCCCGGGGGTACCTTCTTTTTATCTGAACAAACACAGTAGTGTGATCGATACGGATCACTTGAATTCAACAAAGTTTGTAAGGTTGCATTGTTACTATTCCATCATAATACGTAATTTATAAAAAAAAAATGAAATGATACAAGTAGAAATAGTAACGATAATGACTCAAATCTTCTCCCTCAGTTCATCTGCTGTAAATTTGCATCATTTTCTTATAAAATAAAAATAATTCATTGGAAGTCAGGCAAAGGGTTTTAATTATTCAAACACATAATGATGAAGTTTTGTCTTGATTCAGCTAATGTATCGTATCATATATGTACTTAGGGGAACGAAAATCAAATCAATGACACGTTCCAGTATTTTGCGTCATCTCTTTATTCATATTTATAAGATAACAAGTGACTAACAAAGAATCGATCCTACTCAGAGCTTCTTGATTCTTCTTGTCAACTATATGTAAACATTTCGACAACCTCCGGGAAGTACCAAGGCTCGAAGCGCAAGATCAACCACTTGGGTATACTAACGGTGACCGAATAAACTGTGCTTTATCAGTGAGATGATTTTACACGTCTCCTTTGCAACTCGAATTCACGAGGAGGGACGAATCTCTCAGGATCGTATGCTTCTACTATATCATAGAAGCTAAGAAAAAATACACAACTTAACAGTAAGAATAAACTCGCGCCAATTCAGTGTATTAATTCATTCTGGAAAACATTTTGAACATAACGGTGATAGTTAGTGTTCCCGTAATCTTTTCAGGCCGGGCACTCACTGTTGTCCTGCAAAAAAAATCATAATTAAAAGTACAATCTTTGTGGGGATTTGAAAGCAAATTTCTCCATATATAGGTTTCATCCAATAAAACATTTAGATTTACACCGCAGTGAAGCAGAATTTGTTGTTGTTGGACTGTCACACGAGATCATTCGGATGCAATTTTATTGTAGTAAAAATAGTCAGAACCCCTTTGATCACGTTCTGTCACTCAAAAAAAACCTTTCCGTCTTAGCGTATATTGAAAAAAAGCAAAACCGCTATATTGGGCAACTGAAATCTGTTATTTTACTAACAAGCTAAAAGCCAACGTACACCAAAAAACTTGCCACCGCCATTATGAAGCTACCATTTCGGAGGTTAAAAACCGTTGTACGTTCATGTTAAGAAGTCACTCCAAACATTTGTGTACACCAAAAAAATTTATAAAACCATCGCATATATGTATTTTTTTGTAGCCGATGATCAGCTGGTTTAACTGGTGTTGCCTGGGAAGCTAAAAGGCGACCTTCAACCCGTATTACTTGATTGGCTATTTTGGCACTACGTAAATGAAAAAGCGAAAAAACACATAAACTTATAATACCAAGTATAAAACATCCATAAATATTTTCTGTGCATCGCATGGAAATACGCCAAATAATATATAGATTTGGCCAGGGCTAAAAGCGAAGCTCTCGTTAATATTTATAGTTTTGCTCAAACATAACATAAAATCATGGAATGCTAAGTGGCGAAGGCAACGAGAAAGGTGAAGAAAAAAAAACAACAACAACAAAAAGACAATAGGTCTAATTAGCAAAAAAGCAACTTTGCACGTGCAGCACACTTTTTTTGTACATTTTTTTGCCGTTGTTTTGCACCACTAAAACGTGAAACTTCCAGAAACTTCCTGGCTACACGTTTTATGGAGGAAATGTCGTACGTGTTCTTGTTCACTTTTGTTTTCATTGTCGCTCATTTTCACCCCGCTAGCATTTCTCATTTTCTCACCGGCGCTACAAAATGGCATGTTGTTCCTCCAACAAAAAATGTCTTCCTTGTTTTTTCTATCTCATTCTAGCTCTTTTTCTCGTTGAGCTTCGCTGGCCTGTCACCTTACTTTCTCTTTTTCTCTGTCTTCCTTTTTCTCTATTTTCCGGATTTGTGGACATGACAATTAATCTAAACTTAATACTTTACACAATAGAATACAAAAACATTTTCTGCTTTCCGTTTTCGTCTTTATTGACTCTTTAGTTGTGTCTGCTTCACAAGACGCGGGAGGCCATACACTTTCCCACCAAAATAACCTGACATTTGGCATCGGCTTACAAGAAGTGGGTGTACGGACGGTCGGTATTCGTATGCTACGTCATAACCAAATTTTCTTGCTTTCATAGGTTACCAATTTATCTTAGTAATGGGGCTCCGCCACGCGCGCTTCGCGCGGGAGCTCCGCTCTAACATTTGATTATACATTGTAGGGATCTAAAGATATAAAGCAATAAGCAAGTTTCGAAAATACCTACATTTTATATGCATGTACTGGGTATACCTCGCGTTTTGTTTGAATGGAGAGCGCTCCCCGAGATAAGTGGCTAATTTGGTCCTTTGATTGGTCATTTTAATTTTGTGCATATTTTCCCCTTAGAGAAGAACGTGACTTTTCATTTGTATTCCTCCAGGACAAGAGAATAAGTGGCGTGTCATGCTCAACAAAGCGAGCCCAGATGTACCTTTTTTCATCTTTCTACCCATCTAACGGTCAATGGTTTTATTACTGCGACGGTTAAGGACATTTTGATGCTGTGACTTGTTTTATGAACTACTGTCTTTGCCCTCTTTCCACATAATATTCAAGACATATCATCTGCTAGCGTTGTAACTGTAATCACACAGATTTAAGTGTAATTTGGAATACGTAAACACAAAACCTAAGACCGTCCACTGAGCCACCATGGACAAATCCGTTGTAAAGAACTTGATTCGAAAGCGACTTTGGCCTTGCCTGCCATTGATTCAATCAAGACACAACAGGCCGCACGGCACCAAGATGATGGTTATAAAAGGAGAACGCGGACCTTTTGGCTACGCCCATCTTGGATACTAGGAAAAAATTAATACAGTCAAACCTCCTTAACACGGAAACTGAGGGGGCGGGAGGGGTGGGGGCATTGGAATTGTCCGCATTAACAGGGTTGGGTTCATAGAAAATGTAGGGGCTTTCTTTACTAAGGGACAAAGCAAACTACCCGTAATAATGAATGAAATCCAGGCTTTTTAGTGACTACTTTGAGAAAAAAAAAATTACTTGAGTTTATTATAACGAAATGGCGCCTGCCGAGGTGAATTTTCAACTGTCTTCATTTCTCTTTCTTCCTAAGCATCCTTTCATACTCAGGTTAAGTTTCCTATTAAAAATTCCTCGATTTATACGAGTTTTAAGTAAAATGGAATACATTTTGATAATTCAAAATGCCACATCCAAGATGGCGGATGTTTTCAGTTCCCTTTTTAGAAATAAATGACGTCACCATGACATCACTGCTATTGTTAAGAATCATTTATGTGTTAGCCAACTTCCTTTATTTTATCAGAGACCTTACTTCTTATGTATTTTTCGCCTTAAGTCTACTTTGAGGGAAATTTGGATTCCACCAATATATTCAACAATATGACGTCAGATTACGTTACCGTGTCAATTTAATTTTGCCCCAAACTTGAAATTGATGAGTACGTCATTGTGCGTAATATTTTTGGCCGTGGGATGAGTGGTTTTGAAGTTATAGTGGGAGGCCTCTGAGGCCTTCTCCCCGGTCGGAGGAAGCAAAAAAAGCCCGGTCTGAATAGTGTTAAGTGGGTGTCCGTTAAACGGGGTTTGATTTTACCTATAACACAACAGTAAAATTTGATATTTTTTTTTTTCAAAACAAAAACAAATAATTGATCAGTATCTGAGAATGGACACTGGGGACCGCACTTCTACCTGAACGTACACGTAATAATAGCTGCGCAGCACATCCTTGCACCTAGAGAGGCTCTTACCGAGACAGGTTAATCAAACTTAACCTTTGGATTTCTCCTCTCTTGTTGTTTTTTTGTTTTCACTATTCTATCTTGCTACGCAAGATTTTCAAAGTGGTCAGAATTTAAGATGACACTAAATATATATTTTTTAACAAAAAAAATGTTAAAACTAATAAATTTCCCGAGTCTTGTTTATTATAACGACATCTGAAAATGAAGTAATTTATTACAAACACCAAATAACGTCAAATGCATGCCAGCAGTCTATGGGAAGATTAAAAAAAAAAGAGGCCTACAAAAGTGCCTCTTACACTACAATACAAAAATTATTATTACAGAATCGAATAACCAGGTACTAGGCGAATTACTTTTGCCGAAGACTGAGGGGAATTAAAGCTTTGATATGCTCTTTCAACGTGCCACGACTGTACTTCAACCGGAAAAGAGACTAACTTGTTCCACGGACACAAATTTTGGATGGTTTTGCTATCAGCTATTTAAACAAACAAACAAAAAAAAAACCTACGCTGGGAAAAAATGCCAGGTACGTTTTTTTTATTATTTATTTATTTATTTATTTATTTATTTTTAACTTATTTATTTATTTTTTAGCTAAACGAACTGCACTGCAAAAGTCTAACAAGATTTATTTTCCTGCGGGTTCGGTACTTCGGGCAAGCAGTTTACCGAATGTTCAGTCGTTGGTTGGGCTTCCTGTTCCTGATTTACTTGGGTTCATCTCACTTCTGGTCTTTTTCGCTAGTTCTACGCCAGACGGTTCCCCAGGCAATGAATGATAAAGATGGGATGCTGGTTTATCATGGATCGGGTTAACAGCCCTATTTGTCTCATGCTGAATCTCAGCTGGAGACGAACTGGCATCCTCACTTATATCCTCCATTTCCAGCATTAGTGTGATTGACGTTTCGTCTAAGTCTTTTCGTTTGGCCACACGTCTGTTATAACTGAACCTGGAGAATTGCAATTTAATAAACAATGCATAATTTAAAATATTATTTCAAGACCACCTAATTCACTAAAAGAAGACGACAAACATTGGCGCGTGTCAATAGAAAAACTAACAACACGCACAAAAGCTATTTTTACTCTAACTAGAAATACCTGTCACTCTTTTTGCATCCGATCAGAACGGCGGCAATAATGATTAACAGCAATCCACCGCCCACCGAAGCGCCAGTAATAACGTTGGTTGGTTTTGACTTTCCGCCGTTTCCCTCGTCGCTTTCCTCGTTTTTCAGTACCTCTGTGGCAGATGGAAAAGGATCGACACTTGAGATTTCACCTCCAATAGATGTTTGAATGTTGTCTTTATGACCCATCACGATATCATGTAATATACTCTCAGAGACGACACTGCTTTCCGAAGTTCCTTGTGGAAGACTCAGGTAGAAAGCCAGTAAGACTACACCGGGAGAATCGTCTGACTGTTTGGGATAACCAGGAAGAATGTGAACCATGTCAGCCGTAAATGTCACGTTTTCAGACGGACGCCTTTGTCTAAAAAAAATAAAGAAATAATATATGTAACTAATAAGAAAATAAAAACAAAACAATATAAAGGTAAGATCATTGAAAAATAAAAAGTAACAAATCGGCCAAAATAATGATGATAATGATGATGATGATGATGATGAAGTTCCAAAACGACTTTTTAAACTTGATCAGCTTTGTATATTTTAGGTTTGAGAAGAAACAAAACAAAACAAAAAACTGATACTCAAGCGTCAGAAAATAAAACAGCCAAATTTCAACAACCTCTAACGAGGGGAAAATAGTCGATGGAGATGGAAGCATGGACATGGTGTTCTCCATCCTAACTAAGACCCTTATCTGGTAATTCAATCGTTACAAATTTATTTCACTACCAGTATCAAAGGACAGCGACTATTCATTTTTTTCCCGTGGAGTAGGTTCCCAGGCGATTGAAACCGTATTAACAAAAAAAAAAAAAAATGGAGGGAGGGCTACATCATACACTCTAACGCTAAGGCCCGCCACAAGGGATTTCAAGAAGTGAACGCTTGCCCGCCTAACAAGCTAAATGTGTGCATGTACAGAATGTAGTATGCAGTAAGAATAACGATCACTTCACACCCCAAAGCGTTATGTGGGTGCCTTAAATTAAGTCTGTTAAACGTCGAATTATTCAAAATTCGATTGTTTTCTAGTAAGTTTTTTCAGAGTTCATTCGTGCCTTACAAACATAAAGAAACAAAAACATCCACCTTGACTGGTTTGGGTAACACTGGACTTGAGCACGCGCACAATATTCCGTCGCTGCTGCTGCAACTTGTTTTTTGAAAGAGTATTCCATATTTTGGTCCCACTGATAAATCATAAATAAAAGAAAAGAAAACAAACAAATGAACAACCAAAAGAAAAACACTTGAGCATCAGTAAAAAGCAACACAACTGCAAATGAATAAAAACACAGCTAAATAATAATGATAATAATAATAATAGTAATAACTGTTAAAGCGAAACTTCTAGAACTTAAGGTTTTCTTTGTTTTTTTTTGTTCGCGTCTACTTGCAATTAGTTGTAATTGTTTATAGTTTTCTTTTGTTATATTGTTTACTTTCTTTTTGGTGTCACCATCGTTGCGTAATGTTACGTAATCTGTCAAGTTTTTTGGTACAAACTTAGTCTTGTCGGTCAGTGTTTTTTTACAGTTTTTATCGGTCAAGAACAGCTCATTCCTTTTAACGTTAAGACAAGAAACCGTTAAGGTAAATTTTAGTCATACGCCATTTGTACGCTTTTCCGTTTTCTTTGATGTATTTGTTATTTTGTACTGATTTCTACATTTTTGGTAATTTCGTATTCTTTGTATTGTTGGTTGTACAGTACCGTAGGAGTGTGATTTCTAAAATAAAGCGGTTGGACACTAATACGCGTGACTTCGGTTATATAGTACTTAACGATCGACTTTGGTAAAAGTTGGCCGCTCTGGTTGGCGACAGATCAAAGGAGTCCCAAGTTGAAATTACCATTAACGATGGCTTCGGTTGGTGAAAGAGACAGCTTGGGACGGACGATTATAGCCTACCGTGGACACATTACGCGGATTATAAATGAATTAGATCCGCTACTCTTGGAGCAAATTGCTTCTAAAGAAGTTGTTGAAAAGCACAGTTCGCTGGTGAGCATATTCGAGAAGCTTAAACGGGCTTGTGCGCAGTGGTATCATTTGTCTGGGGAGCAAGAGGATAGAGAGCGTATTACTCATGACTATGCCAAGGATGTTTATCGAATGCAGATGTTTGAAAACAAATACAAGGAATGGTTAAACGATGTTTACACCCCAATAAGTTGAGGAGTTTACGGTGAAGGAATTGCGAATATTTCTGGGTTTGATTTGAGCTCCAAAACGCCTGTTGTACGATTAGAGGGTGCCTTTCAAGGAACTCAGAATACAAATCCTTCAGTTTCCCATGCGGGCGGGCGTAGTGATTTGTTGGAAACGAAAACACGTAATGCGACTCAAGATCATGGCGATAAGACGCCAAGTCAATTACACTCAAGGAAAAAGAGTTCTAAAAGAGGCAGTCAGTTATCGGCACGGAATGTCAAGTGTACAATGGCTCAGCTTAAAGTGAAAAGGCTTCTGGCTGAACAAGAGATAAAGGAAAGTGAAATTGCGTTACGTCTACAAGAAGAAAACACACGTTTGTCAGCCGAGAAGGAACGTTTGAACATTCGAAGCGAATTAATGTTAGCCAGGATAGACGCAGAACAGGCTGAGATTGAAGCCAAACTGGGGGAGCAGGTTGATTTTGACTCTGTTTTTTCTTCCGAAGGATCAGTTAGAGGTCACGAGAACGTGAGGAAATATTTGGAAGGATTGTCACTTTCCGCCGTTCCTGGTCAACCGGATGTTGAGAAATGCGTTTTACCGGAGCCAAAACCGCACGCTTTACCGGAAGTGAAAGCTAACATAACGGAAGCGAAGAATGTTACTGGAAATAGCACTGACGAAACAACGGTTAAATTTCAAAGGATTATGGAGCAACAGCAGATGTCTATCGATAAAGTTGTTCTTGGACTTGAGAAGTTGGACGTGCCAAAGCGGGAATTCTTGTACTTTGATGGCGATCCTTCAAGGTACCCCAGATTTATTACGAATTTTGAGCTAAACGTGGAATCTTCGATTACAGATGACAATGTAAGGCTATCTTATCTGATCCAGTATTGCACTGGCAAAGTTAAGGAGGCAATTGAAAACTGTGTAATTCTGCCAGGGCCTGAAGGATACAAAGCTGCTCGTGAAATTCTTAGAAAGAATTTTGGACAACGTCATGTCATCATCCGATCGTTCATCGATAAAGTTGTCAAAGGACCACAGCTAAAATCTTCTGATGGAGAGAAACTCTTACAGCTCGCAAGGGACATGCGAATCTGTTTGCTGAATTCTGCGGAATTAAGCTATCAAGCCGATATAAACTCTTTGGACACTCTGAAGAAGATCGTTATGCGTCATCCTGTGCACATGCAGGCAAAATGGGCGGATGAGTCAGGGAAGATTTGGAAATGGGTTCTGAACCAACCTTCTCTCATTTGGCAGACTTTCTCGAGAAAAGGGCTCCGATAGCAAACACTGAGTTCGGGAAGTTAGTTGGATTCAAGCTTGGAGTGTCAAGAGTCACAAAACAACCAAGAAAAGCAGCTGATGGTGATGGTACTGTGCTTGCTTTGATTCAAGTTGAGAAGGATGTTAGTAACCAAGCCAATACAGCCAACAGCAAACGCTCAAATCAGAGGTCAGCAACGCACGGTCAAGTCAAATGCAAGTTTTGCGATGGAAGACATGAATTGGAGAAGTGTTTTAAGTTCCGAGACAAACGATATATTCAAAGGAAGGACTTTGTTACGAAACAAAATCTGTGTGAAAATTGTTTGAAGCCTAATCACATTGCTAGACGATGCAGGAGTCTTGATGCTTGCTTGCTGAGTGGCTGTAGAGAAAGGCACCATTCCTTGCTGCACCCACCTAATTCACTGAGCGCTCCCATAGCTTCAAATGAGACTTCAAGAATGCGAGGTGATTCTGAAGATCCTGTTACCAGGCCAACAGCGACTCGTGAAGATGTGGCTGAAGCAAGTCCACACCACATCGAGGCCGGGGCGGATTATGCGACAAATGCCGGAAAAAACAGAATTAGTTTGAGGATTGTGCCCGTCCGAGTTTCTGCTAAAGGTGGACGAGAAGTGGAGACATATGCTTTCATTGATGATGGTTCTGACACCACCTTGTGTCTACGACGCCTTCTGGATGAGTTAGGAGTAAGAGGTTCTCCAACGTCATTTTCTTTAACTACCATTAATGCCGAGAGAACCAAACGGTCTGGAGAAGAAGTTAGTCTTACTGTGAGAGCATTGTCGTTAGATGAATGCATACAACTAGATTGTGTGTGGACTGTTGAGAAGTTACCTGTCTCAAAGAAAAGCATACCCAGCACCGAAGATATCCGCGATTGGCCGCATCTGCAGGGTATAAGTATACCTAAGCTCGATAAAGAGGTATCCATCTTAATCGGCAATGATGTTCCCGAGGCGCACTGGGTCTTTGAAGAGCGCCGTGGTCGCCGTAAACAGCCTTGCGCTGCACGGACATTACTTGGTTGGACACTTATCGGACCAGTTGGCGGTTCAAGCAACCCTGGAGCGACCGTCAGTTTCTTAAGTGGAGGTCAAGAAACGCTGTCAGCACAAATTGATCATGAGCGAATGTACAACGCGGAGTTCGGCGAATCGTCTGCGTCATCTAAAGAAATGATGTCGATTGAAGATAGAAGAGCCCTGGCAGTAATGGAACGAACCGTTCAGATGGTCGATGGCCATTATCAGCTCTCCCTTCCTTGGAAGTATGATAATCCGTGCCTACCGAATAACAGACCTATGGCCGAAAAAAGACTGAATCTTCTGAAAAGACGTTTGGAAAAGAGCAAAGTTCTCCAAGAGAAGTACAAGGATGCTGTTGAAGATTACATTGCACAAGGTCACGCGAGGAAAGTATCTCTACATCAAGTGTCACGTTCTGTCTGGTATCTTCCCCACCATCCTGTGATACACCCGCAGAAACCTGAGAAGACCAGAGTTGTGTTCGATTGCGGCGCTAAATTTCGCAATACGTCACTCAACAAACAGCTGCTTCAAGGGCCAGATTTAACCAATAATCTAGTCGGAGTACTACTTCGTTTTCGTCAAGAGCAAATAGGTCTTACGGCCGACATAGAGAAGATGTTCCATCAAGTGAGAGTGTCTCCTCAAGACACTTGCGCTCTGTCATTTTTGTGGTGGCCTGGTGGCGATCTTTCTAAAGAAGCAGAAGACCATGAGATGCTTGTTCACCTCTTTGGAGCTAAATCATCTCCTAGCTGTGCAAGTTTTGCATTAAAGAAAACCGCAGAAGACAACAAGACGGACTTCGATGTGGAAACCATCGATACGGTTAATAGGAACTTCTACGTTGATGACTGTGTTAAGTCGGTCGCAGCAACTGAAGAGGCGGTACGATTAGTTGAGCAGCTGCCAGAATTGTTGAGTAGGGGAGGCTTCCGCTTAACAAAGTGGATCAGTAATCGTCGAGAAATCTTGTCCTCGGTCGCTAAGGAAGACCTAGCACCGTCAGTGAAGAACCTTAACCTAGACTTGGAAGATTTACCGTTAGATCGCGCCCTTGGTATGCAGTGGGACACGGAAGAAGACACATTTGGGTTTAGGACCATTCCGAATATTACAGCCAACACAAGGAGAGAGATTCTTTCTGTCACCTCATCTGTATATGATCCTCTTGGCCTAGCTGCTTCAGTTATACTTCCAGCTAAACGACTGCTTCAGAAGTTATGCAAAGACGAGCTTGGTTGGGATGACATAGTCCAAGAAGACGACCTTCTGCAGTGGCAAGATTAGACAAGGGGCATCATTGGTCTTACCGAAGTAGCCAATACCACGTTGTGTGAAACCGAGAGATTTTGGCGAGCTCAGTTCCGTCCAGCTGCATCATTTCTCAGATGCCTCGGAAGAGGGATATGGGGCTGTCTCATACCTGCGCTTAACTGATGCACTTGGTAATATCGCCTGTAGCATCTTACTGGGAAAGGCAAGAGTTGCTCCACTGAAGACTGTGACAGTACCACGACTGGAGTTAACGGCTGCCACAGTCGCTGTAAAGCTTCACAAGCAGATCAAGGAAGAACTCACTTTGCCTATACATGAAGTGACGTTTTTGACTGACTCTACTATTGTCTTGCAGTATATCAACAACAGTCACACAAGATTCCAGACATTCGTCTCCAACCGGCTGGCAACGATCCACGATATCTCTACCCCGTCTCA